TTTTATGCTCAAAGCTGCTTTTTTTTGTAAAGTTCCAAGCATTTTTTTACAACAGTTTTTTAAATGGAGAATGGTAGTTATAAAATGTGAGCTGCAAAATGGACTTAAGACCTGAATCCTTCCTCCCAATTTAAGATTTTTTTACTCATAGTTAGATAAAGAGTAATTTATGCAAATCCTTCTAGAAATTATTTTACTATATCAAACAGTGCTCTTGCTGGAATTTAAGAAATAACCAGCTTATACATTTAGTAACCTTGCATGATATTAACTGTAAATGATGATTTTATTGAGTTTGTTTTTTTTCAAAAACTATATATTGCTGCCAACTTACACCAAAGTATTTCTTGTTTTTACCATGAACAGTTGTATATATCCTACAGACAGATGGCAACTTTCAGCAGTAACATAATTTCGCCTATCTTTCCTTGTCTATGATTCCCACAAGCCAGTTTATCTCCCAGAACTCCCTTTAAATTGTGACAAAGAAATTTCCCTTAAAAGTGATGGTATAGAATAGTCCCCTGTTATTTTTCATGTTATTTATATAATTTCCCTGGTAGCACACTGTGCTATTACATGCTATAAATCATATTTTATTTTGGAAAGAACTGCTGGTGGTGTTATTTTTAGATCCAACTCTACTTCTGCTGATATCAGCCAGGCTAAGAAAATAGCTGTAGGAACATTTAAATCTCACATACAGTTTTGGGATGATATCCATATTATAAATGTTGTGGGAACAGCAGTACTATAGGAGTAAATAGATACACCACTGACTGAAGAGAATGTGTCCTGAACATATGTGTAGCTGCACTTTTACACTATTGAGAAACGAGAAAGTGGCTTTACTTTTTCTAAGCATTATTTCTGCAGCCTTTTTCTGGCCAACTAAATTGCCACAGCTTGCATTTCCATGACATTTTGACCTAGCTGCAGCCAAACCCATTGGAAAGCACAGTATCTGATCCCAACGGGGTTTCAAAGGTATGTTACATCACACAGAAGCCTGTAACTTCTACTTTTTTTTTCTCAAAGACCAAGAGTATACTTTTCTTTTACAGAATTGTTATTATATAACCTGAAGTTGAATGCAGAAATGGGAAGTTTAACCTTAGAAAAACTGCCTATTTTCTTTGCTTCACGCTTTGAAGTGGTCATAACTGAGCAGTTAAAAACGGACCAGTAGCAAACAGAAGAACTGATCAACTATTTTTCCCGGGGTACCGAGTCATTTGGATGGTAAATAAGGGCTGTAGGATCAATGAGGGAGCAATGGGACAGCTGGTGTGCACTTTCACATCTTAGGGCCCCACTCTGCTCTCTCTGATACCCCCATAAATCAGGAGGAGCTTAAGTAAATTAGAAGCAGCCACCGAAGTGGTGTGGAGTCAGAATGAAGCACCGAGTGTTCCAATCTGTGCCACTCAGTATTCCATATCTGACTTAAGAGATTGGCTCCCTTTCAGAGCTCTACATTAGACATATTGCCTTCTTGTTTTAAAATATGTATGTTTAATATTTAATTTAACAGAATTCCATATTTCAGTCTCAGTGTACTGTGCAAGTCCCTTTGAGGTTCGTGGTTTGTATGTGCAGTTGCAATTCTCCTCAAGTGCAATTTGGAAGCACCATTGCCTAATGGGGTGAAAGGAAATATCTGCCTCCAATTAATCTTGGTTCTCTTTTGAGTGAGAAATGAAAGTATTGCCCAGCCAATGATGATTTGTGAAGTGGGCTGCAGGAGCTGAACCAGGCTATCCAAAACTCCTTTGATGTATTATGTGTGGTAGTGGAATACTAGTAGAGGTCTCATCAATTGTCCACACACTTCAAGTCCACACAGGTAATTTGGACAACCAGCTTCAAATGACAACACACTAAAAAATTTTGCCAACTCTGAAATATTGGTTATAATGCTACACACATAACTTATTGCACATCAGACTGTGTAGGTATCATAAAATAGGTACAGTTAAAGTAAACTGATCCTGTGCTTATATTTTCACAGAGATATAAAAGTTATGTCACGCTGCAAAATATTGCATAATATTTGCTGAGACGAGAGACAGATCAATAATATGCAAAAAACTAATTTCACAATTTAGAAAAATGCTCACAGATTTTGAACTTTTGGTCTGTTGGGACAAACCATAGAAAGTGTGAAGTTACCTCAGGCCAACGATGGTAGAATGAAAATAGCAGTTTAAATGGTACCTGGGTGACCATCCTAGCTCTCTTGCAGGAGAGACTATTTTCAAGACCATTTGGCACACCTAGAATGTGGGATAGCTCTCTAAAGTAAAGAATATAAACATTAAAAGGTCGGAAATAAAACAGCTATCCATTGAAACTGGCAATGGGAATCTTTGCCATTTGGCTCTGAACCACTTTGCCACTCTGCATTCTAATGACAATTACGTGTCCCACACTGATATTTGACTTTCAATTTTCATAGAATTACTGAGAGTGTTGAAGGAGTTAATGGAGGCATAGTACTTTCTTCAGAGAAAATATGAAATTAGATTAGAAATCAGATTGCCTTGAAAACACTACATGCAGCAAAATGTGCACTCAGAAAGCCTTCAGGAGTAATCATCTAACCATGGTTTCTTGTGACTTGTGTTTTACTGTTCCACGACAAAGAAAACTAAAAAGAAAAATGAAACATCTGTGGCGAGATTCTTTTGTCTCCAAGAGACCCAGTTCAACACCTCACAACCCAGGAGATGTGAAATTGTTTCAAACTGTTCTCCACCCTCACAATCACCATCTGCAGCAGGGGGCTGTAAAATTCCCCTGGAATGACCCCGAGGGTGTCGGCGGCTCCATGGCAGCTCAGCAGATGTGCTGCAGCCTTCCCCTTCCATGTTATCCTGCTCCAGCCCTGCCCAGCAGGAGGACTCCAGAGTTTGTCCTCAGACGGCATCTTTAAACTCCCCCTCACCATGTGCTGCCAGGGGTATGGTCCCTTGGCCAGGAATAGAGCTTCTGAGGGCCTCTTTATGCCAATCTGATTCCTCTTATCTTACATAAGGGGCCAGAGCAGGGACAGAGCTCACTTTCTGAGCTCTAAATCTATCCTATATGGCACGCAATTCTCCAAAGTACAGCCAGCTTCTGCTTTTATGGAGTACTGTGCAGTGAAGAATGAAGGATCCTGTTTTTCACCATTTAAAGATGTATGATAGCAACAAACCTCTATGTTAAAATATTTAACTCGAGGAGAACTTATGGAAATTGTCTATTCAAGCTCAGCAAAGACATTAAATTACCAAGCTGTTCTAGGACAGTTGTGTGTGGAGAAAAGCCAGAAATGCTCTGAGATTGTAATGTTACTCACAAAGATTCCAGCCTGAGCCTGATTCAGAAGCTTTCCATACAGATCAGGCATGGTGAGCTGCAAAATGTTACCATATCAAATTTCTGCAAAACATACTCTGTGTGTACACGTAGATATAAAATCAGGACTTATACACAGCACATTTCCTGCCATATTTTGAGTGGCATCTGTTTGTTTGGTTTGCCGAAATATGAAAAATAATATTTCGCGACTACTGGTAACACAACGCTGACAAGATTCAAGACTATAGCTCTGTCTGTCAAAATGCAGATTACAGACAAATCCTTCTATCTCAGTGTTTTAATCAGTCAGATCAGGGCATTGATGAATATGCAAATTTGACTGTTTATACACTCTTTTCAGAGTGAAAGGAAACAAATTCAGTTTCACTATAGAATTAATGACAACTCTGTCCTCTAAGATTAATAATTAAAACTCTACACATTAAGATGATCCTGCTCTTTCCTCCCAGCCTCTGCAGATTTTACTTTTCTATTTTTTTAAGACCCCTTTCCCTTATAATTGTTTGTTCCCCTAATTGGAATGATTAATTATTAATGCCAGTTCATGGACATGCAATAGTCACCTTTAGAACAAGAACTGTACTTTAACTATAAAAAGGGTTAAAAAACGCCACCTTTTGTTAATTCTGTTTTCACTCTTTTCTGTAAGTTAATTTTTTCCTCCAAGTTTTATGCCACCATAGGGATCTCAATGGCCTGCTTTAATGCTGGAAGCCTTTTATTTATTCCAGTGCAGGGTGTACATACATTTTGATTTTCACAATCTATGCTGGGTTTTTTTTTAAGAAGAAACTGATGCTGGGATCAGCAGCCTTCACAGGAATCACAGTTTTCTGTTTCTGAAGCACACACTGAAAGTTTAGGCCAAAATAAACCTCAGAGAAAAGATTAAGAATGTGGTACAAGTGCACTATAAAGTCTGAGAAAGCAGAAGTTTAAAAACGCGACAGGATTTGAGCTATTATTTTTTTAATCTGATGATTTCTGGGTTGATATGGGAGTGGCTGAGTCATGCTTGCCAAATCCTCTGGACAGCCAACATTTCAGAGAAAGATGATAGCAAAGTGAAGAGAAGTTCAGCCTTACCATTAACCCTTCTTCTTGCCCCAGAAGAACTATGACACTCAATTTTTGTGTGGTCACTAGGATCTACACAGACACCACTAAAAACCCCTTCTAATATCACATCACCAAAGCAGGCATTTTTAAGAGTAAATAAAATAGGTGGTTTGTGTATGTTTTGCATTATTTTATCAAGAAAAGTTATCTTCTAGTTTAAAAAACCCATTTGTTTCTCAACAGAAAAAGCTCTTCCAGAAAGACAAATGGTCAGAGTACTCTAAAAATCACATTTCCTCAATAGAGCTGTTTCAGTTTCATCTTTTAATGTCTTTAGAGGTGAATTGATCCTACGTGGGAATTTAGCATGGCCTCGCACATCGCAAAGGAAATACTTTATGTGAAATTAAATTAGCATTTGTCTATATTTCACCGAGCAGGTACACTTCCTCCTGTGGCATTGATAGCAGGAAAACAAATATGTGCGTGTGAGTGTCTGAGCAGGGGGGATGAATTATATTCTGTAGGCATTTAAGGGCAGACATTCATAACGAAGCCTGCTGGCTGTTACTTACCACACTGAGTCCCAGCAATTCCCTGCAGAAATAGTCCATGTTCCTCCTCTGGAGGGTGTCAAGGTAGTGCTGGAGGCGAGTGTAGGTGTAGGGGTAGCAGTAAGCAAACTGGTAAGTGTCATCCTCTCGGTCAAAGCAGAAAGCAAAAGACATGACGTAGTTCTTCCTGTGGTCTGGGCAGCGGTAGTAGTACACATTTTTAGAGGGTATTCTTTGCCTAAAAAAACCAAAAACACGCATGTATATTTAGTTCTTGACACGTGTATATGTTGGCATGAGAAATCTGAACAAAAAGGCTACGTGAGGTTCAAATTTCTTCTAAAGGAAAAGAAGTTGAGAGGTTTGAACAGCTCAGGAGCTGGGGAGCAGGGCCCAGAGCCTGTGTTTGGGAGCAGTGCAGACAACTGCCATGGCAGAGCCCAGGCACAGCACAGCTGCTGGGACTGCAGCTCTCTCCAGGTGCCCAAGCTGGCAGAGTCACCACAGCAGGGCAGGGCATCATATAACCAGGAAAACCCACTCCCATAAAGTGAAAAGGATGCACAGGCTGTTCAAGTATCCTCTACTTTGCTATCAAGTTGGTGCAACTTCATAGCACTACACAGGCTCCAGACAAACCTCTGTCTGGAGTGTGGTACATCCTTTGTAACAGGGCTGACTCACCAGCACAGAGATGAGGCATAACCAGTGAAGGAATGTCAGTAAAAAGCATCACTGACAGAACTGAATTTCTGAAATTCAGGACATCTTTATGACTTTTTTTTATGCTTAACAGTCAGGGCATACATATCGACACCTATGCAATGAATGGAAGAAAAGATAAACTCTTGAGGTTAAAAAACCCAAACCAACCAATCAAACAACAACAACAACAAAATCAAACAAAAAAATTCAGGTATGGAAAATAACCAGGCCCTAAATTAGAAAGCAAAGAAGAAAAGGGTATTTGGTCCCATTCCAAATTGGACAGTTCTGGTTTATCTAACAAGATAGAAATGAATATACATGATGGTAAATAATGATAATAAAGACATTTATGTCATTGTTATCAAGCTGGTATCTGTTTAAGGAATAACAAATATCTGCCTGCCATCTCTCACCTAACTCCAATTATTCTGTTATTTTTCAACAGAAATTAGTAATATTTCAGAAGGGGAACAAAAACTTGTTCTATGGATGAAAGACACTCACTCTTTCTGTTTTTATGCTTTCTTCATTTCTTAGATGGAATTTCTAACTTTATTTAGACAGGACAGTCTCCAATCACACCATGCACTTGTAATTTGATGTAACTAACTTACATGTTTGGCAACAAAAAACTATGATCCTGCAGACTCCATCTGATTCAATTACACAACATTATAAACAGGTCTCATCTGATGATTGGAGCAGATCTCAGCTAAGCTCGGATCATGGTGAGGGGAAAACATAATAAGATTTAGAGACATAGCACGAGTAATGTGCTGCTTTGTAATAGTTCCGAGAAGCTGGTCTGCTGCAGAACATCAGTTTTGGCCTCTCATTGTTAATATGAATTAGAGGACAAAACCCTCTCATTATATACAAGTACATGTTTGCCAATTAGCAGCAGTTAAGGACTCTGATCAGCGAGACTCAGGACCTACAAAGAGAAATGGAAAGGAATTGAGATCTTCCTGAGAAAGTACAATAAAGAACCAGCGATGCAGTTAATTAGACTCGAAATAAGAAATTATTTGCCCCTTTTAATGCCCTGCCTCTTGAACGTTCAGGGCTTCAATAATTTACTTCAGCATCATGACTGAACATGAGCCAGCAGTGTGCCCAGGTGGCCAAGAAGGCCAATGACATCCTGGCCTGTCCCAGTAATAGTGTGGCCAGCAGAGCCAGGGCAGCGATCGTCCCCTCACGTTCAGCACCGGGGAGGCCACATCTCAGACCACATGTTCAGTGTTGGGCTCCTCACTTCAAGAAAGATATTGAGGTGCTGGAGCTGGTTCAGAAAAAGGCAATGGAGCTGGTGAAGGGTCTGGAGATATTTAAAGGACATGTAGATGTGGCACTTGAGAACGTGGTTTAGGGGTGGAATTGGCAGTGCTGGGTTAATGGCTGGACTCGATGAGATTAAAGGACTTTTCCAACCTAATGAAATCTGTGATTTGATGATTAGTTTTTTTCTTAAAAAAGATATTTGCTTATCACTAAGATCTGAAAATAATATTTAAGCCACAAATATAAAGCACAGAAAAACAAAACTTTTATTTTTTTAAAGAAGTATCAGTAGGGAAAAAACACCACCAGCCATCTGCATGCAGAACCCAAACCTAATAGGTTTCTTCAGTATCTTAACATATTTCTATCATTCACCCTTACTCTGGAGTGCTATAGGACATCCCTCATTTGATCTCAAATCAAGCAGATGATATGGCAGTGGGTAAATGTATTCTAGCTCCCAGTCCTCAAACCATAATGCAAGTTTAAACAGTATGTTGCTGAGTTGTTGAACTTTATTTGTTTCCACATTAGCATGGGAGAAATAATAAAGGACAAGCCTCACTTTATGCTATAAAAATTTCATGTAAAATGAGACCAATAGGAGGAAATTCAGGATTTTAGAAAGGCTAATGCTAATTGAAATTCATCTGCCGATAGTTAATGTTTAAATGACACATAGTTCTCCTTGGTTCAATAACTTCCTACTTTTAAGCAAGTTGAAGACAACTTTGTTAATGTATTAAAGGCACTTTTGATATTTCATTCCCTTTCCCCTTCATTATAAACGCTAAGCATCTGTTTTATTATCCACTTTGACACATCACTTTATGGCTGCATTTGGCTATTATGGCTAATCTTGATGTCTAGGACATCTGGTATTGACATTTCACTATCTGGTGTCTGACACAACAGCAGAAACCATCCTCAGTTCCCAGGTTTAAATTCACCCTCTCAGGGCAAAAAGTGCCCAAACTCTTAATTCAAACCATATCTTCCAAAAATAATTATAATAGTACTCCTGTCACTGCTAATCTATTTTTATCTCTCCTAGCACTTTGTCACTGCTAATCTATTTGTGAGTCATATAGAGAAAGAGAGTTAGCGTTTAGATACCAACAACACATCTTTACACACAGGAGTTTAATCAGATTGAGATCTTATCAGGGAATTAAAGCAGAAAAGAAAAAAGGGGAAGGAAAAGAAAGAAAAGAGACACAGTGCTAGATATCACCAACTGAGTTTTTGATAACGAAAAGACATTGCTCAGTTCTTGAATTAACCTTTGTGTCCTAGACACACTATTGTTTACTCTTTCCCTTTTTTGTTCTATGCCTTCTGGAAAAGGACACCCACACACTGTGGCAGCAGCTGCTCCTATTAATTTAAAGCTATTACAAAAATTAAAATTAAACCCAATTACTTTGGCTGGTTTATAGCTGGGGAACGGCTTAGTCTGATTGTTCCCTCTGGTTATGGACAAAAACAATATTCCTACCTACAGGCAGCTGCCAGTGGAATACTAATGCATCTAGGGCCTGGCAGGAACAGATTCCAACTGCAGAGTCTGACTGCATTTCTTACTAGAGAAAAATATCTTATCATGGATCTCCAGAAATGCACCAACTTCTTACACTGTATTTCACAATGAAGCCGATTTGTAGTTAGAGGCAGGAAAGCAAAATGACGGTAGAAACCTCGATGCACAGATTTGTCCCTTTGCATTTCCAGGCAGCTCCCTCTAAGCAAGGCACCCTGCTAATTGATACACAACTGCCTGGATGATTGTTTAAAGGAGAACCACCCCAATTCTGAGAACAGCCACACAGAATAATGTGCAAGCAACTAATTCCCAGTCTGTTTTGGAAATGCGTTTGAAGAACTGAAGCTTGATATTTTACCACACTTTGAGACAAATTCAGACTGCTTAGTCCTAAAGGTAAATGCAAACCCTTTTGTTCAAAGGAAAAAGGAAGCACAGAAATGAAGAGTTTCTCTCTGTTTTGACTCTCATAGTCCAGTGCCAGTCAAAGGTTTGAGCCAGTGGATTTGAGTGCCTTCTCCTCCTACCTGCCCAGCCCAGCAGATTTGTTACTCCAGGTGAGAATGTCCATGTGCCTGTTCCTGGCTGTTTGCTACGGTGCAGTCTGGAGTCAGGACATTTGCTCTGTTTGGTAGTGTGCCATAAGATCCCATTTTTCAGAGTACAAATAATGAAAATTAAAATTGTAGTTCTCACCCAGTATCAAAAATCTGATGACTTCAGAGGCCCCGGGATTTTACTCCTTGAGGCAGTGAGGGGTGAAATTTAGCAATGAAAACTTTATTCTAACTATATTTCTAATTTGAACATAATTTTGACTTTGACTCTAAGAATTTTGACTTTGAAGGCAAACTTTATTATCTTTTCTGTTTGGTTTGGTTTGGTTTTTTTTTTTTTTCTCTCTGCTACCTTACTTCCCTTTGAAAACTGGGAGTTAATCAAGACTTTGAAGGACCAACACAGAGGGATGGTGGGGATGCCGCTTTGTGGCATCTGTTCTTTAAGTTTTAAACACATAAGGGTGCTAATCAAATCCTTTTGTGGTACCACAACAGTAATAATTACAAAATAACTATTTTTGGAGCGCTTTTCCCCCCATTGCATGACCAAAGCAGGGAGCTCTGGCCCAGCCAAATTCCCAATGGCTTTAACAAGCAGCATAAATAGTCTTTGGATCACCTTTAATATGACACTCCTGAAGTAATTATTCAGTTCCTTGTCCCTACAGGATTGGGTTAGACATACCACAGTCACAAAACTTCAAAGGAAAATGATGATCTTTGGAGGAAAAACAAAAAGCTGCAGGTGCTGTAAAGGATCAATGGTCAAAGGAAAAATGAAGTGATCTGAGTTGCAGAGGAATGCTCCAGTGAAGCTGGTTGGGATGTTTGTTGGCTGTGGTGACACACTGTGGTGATCATTTTCAATTGCCACCAATTTGCATGTGCAGGGATACTACTTAGCAAATCCACAAATTCCCAAGCCTGCACATAGAACTCAAAGGGGTGGGCCCGAGTCACAACCTCAGATGAAATAAAGCCTAAAGACCCAAAACCTGATCCCAATTCAACTTTACAAAATAACCTTCAGGTACTTATTGACAGTACCCTGAACACAAGACTTGGCGACTCTTTTGGACTGTTCAGATTTAACTCCTAAAGCTGGATGTCCCTAGTTATCCACTGCAAGAAATCCAACACACT